TGTAAGGAGGGACAGGTCCTTGGAGAGGGACATCATGCTTGGGAGGATGGAGGGACAGCGCAGGAGGGGAAGACCCTCTATGAGGTGGACTGATTCAGTGACTGGGGTAATCGGGATGGGTGTGTCAGAAACAATGCAATTGACACAGGATAGAGCAGGGTTTAGGGCTGTTGCAAATGACTGGACGGCACATAACAACAACAACCACCTAACATGGGAGGGATTGGAGAGCATTAGGCTAAATGACCTCAGTCTCATAAATACAAATACCATGATAGGACCATAATTGTAAAGGGTGTACAAGGGTGGTGGAAGGGCTTAAACACAGGGTCGCACAATTTGATGGATGAAGGGAAGGATTGGTAAAGGAAAAATTAGAGATTGGTAAAGGGGCCAGTGTGAAAAACAATATAAATAAACTGTATGAACTTTGTAAATCAGTATAAAATAAAATTTAAACAAAAAAGAAATTGTTGCCCTGACCAAAAATATTGCCCTGAGATATTTAAACTGTAAACAAAAAATATCTCCTTAAGTTTTCTTAGAATCAAACAGTAATTTAGCTGACCTAATGAAAATCCCTGGGTTGAGTATTAATCTCTTTTTAAGATGAGAGCAAAGTGGCAAGAGTAACTTGAAAAATTAGACAGGAGTTTTACGGAGAAGGGACTTCAGGTACAACTTGGAAACAGAGGTTGATAAACTTATCACTTGAAGAAGGAAGTCAGTTTCACTGAGCTGCACAACTAATGTCCTCAATAACTAATTTTTTTATTAATTATCAGCTACACAACTTTTGCTATATTCCCTGTCTGCAACATGAAATTGGACCAGCCATCTCTAAAAGCTTTTATGAATCAGTGATTCTCCGGGCAGTGAGAGGAGAGAATGACTCTGCATCTAATAAGTAAATCTCTAATTTTTCATACAAAGAAACATCTTCTACAGATTTCCTACAACTGTTCATTCTGCCAAAATGTGATGGTTTTGTGAATAAGCAAGTCCCCTCTTAGGATTTGAGTTTCCTCACCTGTATAATAGAAATACAAAGCACCAACATCAGACAATGAGGTACAAAGCCTGCGTGGCATAAGCCCCAAAGCCTTCACATGATGGTGATACTGCATTAAAAACCTCAATCCCTATCATCACCGAAATAAACATTCAATACAGAGACGAATAACAGATATAAATTCTCATTAGGAGAGAGAGAGGGGCCCACTAACTTGCTGTATGAGCTTTGACAGAAACCTTCTCCGGGAAGGTTTAATACCGTACACATCCTGTCTCACTGAATTCTCTCACTGAAACTCTACAGGTTAAATCTGCTTGTGCCCAATGTGCCGGCACAGAAAGCGTCCCGAACTTCCCCGGGAAACGACCACTTTTTACACGGGTTCCGCCGCGAGGCTCCGCCCCAGCCACGCCCGTTTATTAGGATATATTTATATACACGATGGCAGACTAGGCAGGGGGGGAAGTGGCAGGGGCAAGATAACTCTGCAAGCCATGGGTCAGCGTTCATGGGGCCTGTGAGGGCCTACCTGGCTTCGTTCTCGGTGTTCCCGCTGCCGGGACTTAGCTGCCTTCCGAAAAGCCGCCGCCATTTCTGTTCAGGGATGAGAACACCCAGCAGACACGACGATAAGACACGATCTCAGAAGCCTCGTCCACTCAGCATGCCGGAAATAGGCGGAGTCCCAGGGGTTTAGGACCGCCCACTTCCTCTTTTCAGCCTATCAGGCGTCTGTCTTTCCGGATATGCGTCTTGTAGCAAGCCAGCTGCCGAAGGCGTCTTTTGGGAAGTGTAGTTTCCCAGGTCTAGTCTCGTGACTGCAGTTATTAGCCAGAAGTTGTCCACGTGGACCAAGAAGTAGGCTGCGGGCTCAGCTCCGCGTTGGCACCTGAGAACGCGTGAGTGGACTGCCCGACTTCTTTGCGCGTGCGCAATCACCTTTTTTTTTCTTTGCACTCACTATTCACAAGGGATAATTGACACTATGTAAGTTTTTCTACGCTATGCTGAAAAGTTTTTGTTGTTGGCCTAGTGGACAGAAAGTGATGCTACCAAGCTAAAGGTGAGTGATTTTAATCAGCAGCCCTCAGACCTGGTTTAAATGGTTTTCAGTCAAACATTCTTCTAAGTGGTATCGCACTGATCTGTCCACTTGCTGAACCGAGGTAACTCGTGGTTGCTGTGATGCTGAACACTGTGACACTGAAGTGTCAAATGGGATAATGGTTACCCATGGCGGACAATGTTTGGTGGAGCTCCCAGATTAGAACAAGCTTGGAAGCAGAAGTGGCACCCACTTCTGAAATAGCTTGCCTCGGGAAACCCTATGAACTTGGAGAACCGATGAAAGTTATACAAGAGTTCAGGTCTTTCTTTCATAGGGTTACTATAAGTCGTCTACGCTTCAACGGCACTTAACAATAACAACATGCTGAAAAGTACATTTTTTTAAAAAATAACATTTTTTTATTTTAAAGTTTACTTACAAAGTTCATACACATTGTTTTTAAACTGGATTTTTCCCATTTCCTTTTCTCACCCCTCTCTCTACCCATCATATTGTACGACCCTATGATTACCCCCCCTGCCCATTCTCACCCCTCTGTTCCAGCCTTCCCCGCTTTAGATCCTCATATACATTTTACTAGCTATCTTTCTATTTCTACAATAATGGACTTATGGGACTGAGTTACTTCACTTAGCATAACACTCTCCAGTTCCTCTCAAGTCAAGTTTTTAGAGACAAAAGACCTTAAAGCCGAATCTGACTCTGCCTTTGACAAACTGTATGATCCTTACCAGGGCCCTTGACTTTAATAATGAGCATCATACATTTTCTCACCCATAAAACAAGCATAATAATAGCATGTTCTGTTTGCCTCATAGGGCTATCAACTAATTCACAGTTTGGTCGTATCTGTAACTAGTATAAAAGAATGTCACTTAGTTCATTGAAATAAAAAATAAACAACCTAAATTTAAAAAAAAAAAAAAAAAGACTGTCACTTAGTGGTAACTCACTGTCCTTAAGTTCATTCTGACATATAGTGACTAAAGGACAGAGTAGAGTAGGTTTCCAAGACAGGTTTCCAAGGCTGTAATCTTTACCACACAGAATCAACTTTCTCTGAGAGAAATTGGTGGGTTTGAACCTCTTATCGTTTGATTAGCACCCCAATATTTAAGTCACAGCACCACTGACCAAAACCACTCAGTGGCTCTGAGGGAGGAAAAGACCTTGCTCAAGTAAAGATTGCTGCTGTTATTGTTGTTGTTGTTGTTGTTAGGTGCTGGCCAGTTGGTTCCAATTCATAGCAACCCTACACAGAACAGAACAAAACCCAATCCTGTGCCATCTTCACCATTGTTGCCATGTTGGAGTGCATTTTTGCAGCCACTCTGTTAATCCATCTCATTGGGAGTCTTTCTCTTTTTCACTGACTTCTTTATCAAGTATAATGTCCTTTCTTCTACAGGAACTGGTCCCTTCTAAGTTGTTGTGGTGGTGTGGTTGTTAGGTGCCATCAGGTCAAGTATGACTTAAGCAACAGCAGATCTGAACTTTGTCCTATCCTGTGCCATCATCTTCAACACACTTGAGCCCATTGTTACAGTCACCGTGCCAGTCTTTTTTGTTGAGGTTCTTCCTCTGTAACACTGACCCTCCACCTTTCCACACATAATGTCAAAGTATATGAGATGAACTTTCACCTTCCTTGCTCTAAGGAGCACCCTAGTTTCACTTTCTCCAAGACATAACTGTTCTCTTGGCAGTCCATGGGGTATTCAGTGCTCTTCTCCAACAACAGTTCAAAGGCATCGATTTTTCTGTCATCCTCCCTTATTCATTGTCCAAGTTTCAAATGCATAACAAGTCGTTGAGAAGACCATGGCTTGGGTCAGGTTTTGTTCTTTAGGACTCAAGAGAGGTCCTTAACAGCAGATTTTTTTCCAATGTGACTCATCTTTTGATTTCTTGACTGATAGTGCCAAGGATGTTGGTTGTGGATCTCTTCTAATAACATGTCTAAAACACATGAGATCCTCCCTTTCAAGAAGCCTTCTACTGCCTGTCTATTCTTCCTAGATAGATTACAGCCTAGCATATCCTATAGGGCAATTTCATCCTGATATAGGGGAATCACTATGAGTCAAAATATACTTGAAGTCACTTGACAACAGCCAAGTCACAGCCCCATTTTATTTTCCACAAAACACAGGTTGATATTTTTGTTCTGTTTATTTCTGCTCCATCCTCCACCCCAGGTCTGTACATGACCATTAGACTGTACTCTCCATCAGATGTCTTGTCTTCTGTCTGTATTCCCAGTGTATAGAGAAAATGCTGGGCACACAAAGGCACTATGTTAATTAATTAATTAATATGCATAAATTACCACCTCCACCTTCCTGCCGTAAACTCTGAGAAACCCGTGAGAGCCAGAGCTCCACCAGAACTGCCTTGTTTTCTTAGGTCTTTCAAGTTTCCATCAAGTTGGAACTGACTCATAGCTGACCCTCCAGCAGGTTTTCTGCGGCTGTAAATCATCCAGGAAGAGATTGCCCATCTTTGTCCCTTCGAGACGTTGGTGGATTCAAACCTTTAGGTTAGTAGAGCAAGTACCTATGGACCATACCATCCAAGTTCCATATATAGTGGAAAACATTTGAGTTGTCCTTCTCTGACAGGCTTCTGCCTAGCACAGGTTCTAGTTCTCACAGATTTTGCTATTAACCTCATTTTCCACACAGAGGTCTAGATTACACTGTCCCAAAGAACTTTCCACAAAGGGACATGTTCTATGTCGCACTTTCTCATACGGTAGCCATTAGCCACATGTTCCTACTGAACACTGAGGAGCTAATTTTTTTTAATTGTATTTTTAATTAAGTTTCATTTTGAGAGCTCCAGTGGCCTACTGGAAAGAAGTTGCACTGCAACCCTGAAGGCACTTGGTTCAAGGCCACCAGCCATTCCACAGGAGAAGGATGGGCATTCTCCTTCAGACTGCCTCTGAAAACCTCTCATGGTACACCACCACTACCACCACAAGTTTCAGTAACCATTATATAGCTAGTGGGTACTCTTATTGGACTGCACATGAGAAGGTGGGCAAAAGGGAGAATACAATAGTTTGTGAAAGAGCTAGAGACAGAATCTCAGCACCATATCTAGCAGCAATGGTGGCAATAGGCTCTATGATTCCAGCAGGCTTATGTATAACTGAACTAAACTATGTCCTGTGCCATCCTGGCAGTAGTAGGCATGTTTGAGCTCATTGCTGCACCACTGGGTCAATCCATCTCATTGAGAATCTTCCTCTTTTTTTTTTGCTGACCTTCAACTATACCAAGCATAGGGATCAGTTCCTCCTGGTGACCAGTCCAAAAATACATGAGACAAAGTCACCATGCTTGCAGTACTTCTTTCTTTTTTTTTTTTTTTTGCAAGGGCAAGAGGGAATTTATTTCAGATTCGAATCCGGGAGTTGCAGTACTTCTTTCAAGGCAGTTTCTCTCTCTCTCTCTCTCTCTCTCCCTCTCCCTCTCCCTCCTCTCCCCTGCTCTGTCTCCCTTCTCTATGTCTCACTCTCTCTCCCTTTCTCTCCTTCCCTCCTCCTGCTCTTCCTTCTTCTCCTTCTCTCTCTCTCTCATATTGCCACCCCGTTTGTTCCAACTCATAGCTGACCCTCCATTGTGTTTCCAAGGATGTAAATTGCATGAGAAGAGACTGTTCATCTTTCTCCCTTAGACTAGCTAGGGGATTCAAATCACCAGACAGTCTGGTCTTCGGATTACTAGCAATAGTCTCTAAGTATTACATCACCAGAGCTGCCTCTGAGAGAGATTATGGTCTAGGAAACCGTACAGGGAAGCTCTCTCTGTCTCATTGAGTCATTATGAGTCACTCTGTCAATACATCTAACATCTCTTTTGCTGATCCTTTATCAAACATGGAGTCCTTCCCAGAGAATGATCCCTCCTGATACCATGTGCAGAGTAAGAGAGATGAAGTCTTACCAGCCTCACTTCAAAGAAGCACTCTGGCTATTTTTTTTTCTCCAAGATACAGTAGGGGCACAGATGCTACCTGTTCAAATTAACCCAAATATCCTGCATGCCAGACGTAAAAGTTTTCCATGCTTCCATGGGGCTTCTTTATGTTAGCTTAGAAGTTAAAGGAAGAAAGGGCATAATGACACTGGCTGTAATAAACTGGATGGAGAAGTTCCCATGTCAGGCAGAGTGATCATCTGATAGTCCCAGCCTCTCTGCTTCTTCCTCCAGGGAAAGCTCTGTGCCCTGGGGAGGGGAGGGTGGAAGGAGTCATCTCTGGATTTGAACTTTATATTCACCGTCTATGAGCTTCTCTGGGGCCACAGTCACAATTTCTCAAAGGCTCATTTCCTAGTGTGTGAGTTGGCGATAATAATACCTTCTACGGTTTTCATGAGGAGTAAAGAAAGTAATGAATAACAGTTAGCACTCACAAGGCATTTAACCACTTATCAGATGTCCCTGTGTCCTGTTCCTGTCGACCCTCCATGTTCAGTTTAAGTCACTCATTTCGGCCTCTTCATCCACAGATGCCTCC